ACTTCTGATGTCTTCAAAAACGAAAAATGCAAGGATCATCTTTCCTTGAGTAGCATGAGAGGTCCTAGGTACTGCAAAAGTTTCAAATTCTGGGATGTAACTCAACAAAAAAATTTGGGAGTCAAGAAATGCGATAATGCTTAAAAAGGCCAGGTGTCCTTATAATTATGTCCAGCTTGCAAAACAGGCTTTTTCGAATTGTTCATTTTTCTCCGTTCGAACGGGATTGGAAGCCGTTCTGAGGACTTATGGTAGGCTTACATGCGCACCATACAGCAAAGTTTCAGACAGAATCACTGACAAGAACGAAAATTACGACGATTTCTAGAGTGTCTCTGTAAATATGTCCAGCACTGTAGTAGATGCACCTTGATGTTTCTGTAAGATTTTCAATGTGTATCAAGTCCTTTGCTGTGGCGCGCTTACAAATTCAAACAAATAGATGAAGAAATAAATTATAAGCACATAGACGTCTACCTCTATCCATGAAGCAAAGTATGGTTTTCTCATTAGTCAACGCCGATTTTAGGAAGCAGACTATTCCAAAACGATCTTTGCTGTATTTGCTTGAGGCTGCCGCACAATACATCCAAGACAGAATAATATAAATGTTTGAATTCTCGCATTGGCAATCCACAGAATTCATCAGGTTCACATAAACTGAACCATCTTCAAGCATGCTTGTGTATTTACAGAGAGGAGAATGGAAAAGGAAATGACAAAGTAAACTTGCATCACTAAAGATGTACGACATACAAAGAAGTTCTAGAAGCTATTGTTGCACACCATAGTAATTCAACACTTTTCTCAATAATTTATATGGACTAACACTTTTAAGCATTCGGTCTAGCAATAAGCCTTTCACCGCGAGCATAGGTAAGACCAGAGAAGGTTTCGTTTGGTTTCGAAAACAGGGTCTGTTGTGTCAAGTGGCAGAGAGCAATTACAAGAGCATGTCCCCGATTTCGAATTTCAAGAAAACAAAAGGACGAAAAAAACTCGCAGGAGAAAACGGTACTTTGACCTTTTTGCACTCCCTTCATCTATCGCAGGGTCTGACACGGCTGGCTTACAAAGTTCCTTAAAGTTGGATAAACTGGCCAAAAACTCGAAGCTTACGAGATGTAGCTTATAACCGTTTTCGCATGTGCTTGAACTGTGAGAGCTGCTGCACTGAATGTAACCGGGATCGCGTGACGAGCAAGTAGTCAAAGGGAACAATGGTCTCTTGTTGCAGACACCGGAACAGACTAGGCGCCAAATTGGAAGATTTGGGAGTTCAGTATGAGAAGATAGCTATGCTTAAAGGCACAATGTTAATAGGAGAAACACAAATAGTAGCAAAAAAAACTCTAGAAAAACTACTTTCTTGTGGGTACCTATAAGAAAATCAAAGAAGAGGAAAGATGATTGACTGAACGAAAGACCTAGCACTACAACAAAGCTTTTATAAGCATGACCAGTGCTAGCTGTGGCTTGCGCTGGCCAGCTAGGTTGGCAGGGTCTTAAAGGAAGATCCGCCCATATTGGGAGGTGATATTTGAGTGGTAGAAAAAAGTCTATGACTAAGTCATTGCTCAAGCCTGCTAAAGGCGCGACTAAGAAAACCATTTACCTAAAAATGTTTACTCGCCTATTCATTGCATGAGTTTCGATATCTTTGGGACTCGCCTATTTATTGCATGAGTTTCGATATCTTTGGGTCTTTGGTGACCTTCAAACCGTCTACGCGCTGAGCGAAAAGATTCGCATCATTGTCTAGGGCACCTTTTGCGCCTCAGAACACACCTTCTGACCAGAGGCACTGCAATTAGATTTAACCACATGTATCGCAGTATGGGTTCTTGATAAAACTGCAGAATATTCACTGCAATCAGCTACATAGTTACGAAAAGGTTAAGAAAAGTTTGAATCTTACCATGCTAAATTATGGACCGCCGGTTCGTAGCCTCATTATTGTGACGGTTACGACTATCAAAATTTACTACATGGAGCCACATGCATTGACATCCACATCGAGAGAGGAAGAAGGAGGGGATAGGGGAGATCTGCAGTTCAGAATGCCTACCGACATTTTAGTGGCTATATTATGCTTCACTAATAGCCTAAGGAACTGAAAAAGACGTCGTACAAGCTGCGTTTTTGAATTTTTTGTACATCTGTAATCTTCGGAGTATGTCGCCCTTCTCTCCACCTCCTCTGCTTCCCCCAAAATTTCGAAGGAGTAATCCTATTCATTTCATAAAAGCCTCACTTTGAGTCTGAAAAGTCGGCTATCCAAAAAATCTGCATAAACGCTGCCACTTTTGTTACGGTGCAGATTTTTTATATCAAAGTCACACAAATGTTGACATATATCTGCATCAAAAGGTGCGTAACTCGTGCATAATGTGTTCGTGGTCATACTTTTCGCGAACTGTGAACTGTGAACTTTTCGCGTTCAAATACTTTTGGCGATGTTTTCATATGGTAGACTCAACTCATAAAGACAGCGTCCGCGCGGATTTGAGAGCATCTCAGCCTTAACAGAACACTAAGGCGGCTCAGCAGATCACAGCCGGATCAACAATATTCTGCAGTTGCGGCTGGGCTATGGTTTGCATGGGAAAGCCGCTTCATCAATCTGTTTAGACTGAGGTGCTCCCAAATCTGCGCGGACACTGCCTTGGAAGGAGTTCCAGAGTTACACAAATTGACCCTCAAGTACTATTGCATTTTCGACTGCTTGCTATATCATGTGTGTTCGATTTTTGTAGTCAGATTTATTATGATTTGCAAAGGATAATTATTTGGCTGTAAATCCTATCATAGTTCAAGTGAATTAGTTTAATAATGATACGACTTCTTAAGGCAGCCAACATGCAAAGATTCAAAGCATTTATGATAACCGCTTACTAAACGAGCCGCCCACCTGCTCTTGACTACTGAGTATCGGTGGAGGAGGAGTGTCAAGCTGAGGTGGCGAAAATCTGCCTGGATCGTAGACTGGTGGCGTCGGGTTGTCTGGGCATCGTTGCTGCTGCTGTTGCTGAAACAAACATTATCACTCAGTATGAGAGTGACTCAATTTTAAATTTTGCCTTTTCCCCCATGCAGCTGTGTATTTACTAGCAAACTCCTCCACGGTAGCATTTTTGAAAGCTTTAACAATTGCTCAAAAGAGAAAAATACAATGGCCTGAATTATAGTTCCAAATGCGTGGTACACTTTGTTATCAATTGCTCCTGGTACAGCTGCGTTTTTGTGTTTGCAAGCCTACTCTCAGTCATCAAAACAAACCTCGTTTTCGTTCGATTATTCAAAAGAATCAAAAATTTTGAAGAAAAGCATCCTTGGAAACTGGCCAAAATAACATCTCCTAAAAATGTGAAAGTTTGACATCCTTAGCACAAATACTTATTGTGAAAGTTTGACATCCTTAGCACAAATACTTATGAGCGAATCTTGTTCTGAGCACACGAACTTTTGCGTGACCACATTCTGGCTGCGTACCTTCGATAGTATTGAGACATTCCAGGAGGTGAAGGTTGCTCTTATGCATGCTACTCATGAAAGATAATGTTTTGAGAAAATAAAGAAGGGTAATAGAGAATAGAATGGCAAACGAGAATAAACTGTTAGAAACTGAGGTTGCAATAGTGTTAAATTCTGCTTTCGATAAACTAGAATCGCAGTTTTCGCAGGATGGCCTTCGCAAACTCCGAAGAGAGAGAAGCTGAATTCCTTTTTTTGCAATAAACTGACAAGCAAGCACAATGGAACGGAAATCACTATGAAGAGGATGAACAGGAAAAACATGGTTACATAAACGGGAATTGTTGTTTCTTCAAGTTCGAAATGCAAGTCAAAAGTAAGCTGATTTTTCATGCACCCTCTGATTTTTTGCCCCTTGTTGCTTTTGTTCCTAGCGACATTATTTGCGCTGTTATACTCGTCATTCTTTGCAAGAAACCCTTAAGTATGAAAAAAAATGTTCCCGGCTTACTTCAGAGCAGCTACAAAAACAATTTTTGTAGCCGTCTCCAAATCTCATCAGAATCGAGAAGTAAGCCCGGCGACCTTGTTTGCAATAAAGACAAGAGCAAAGTCTATCGGATGCACATTGTCAAAAAAGATTAGACTGAACAAAAACAAGGATATTTGAGAACACTGTTTTTGCCAGATTCGTGCAAATCAAAAAAGTAAGTTCCGCGATGTTGTCAGCGAAATCAGAGCTAGAGGATAATATACAAATTGTTAAAAATGGATCCTAAACGACGAAGAGGATAAACAGGAAAAACATGGTTACAAGAACGGAAGTGTTGTTTCTTCAAGTTCAAAATGCATATAAAAGCTAAGCTGATTTTTAAGCACTGATTTTTTGCCCTTTGTTGCTTTTGTTCCTGGCGACAATATTTCGTTGTTATACTCATCATTCTTTGTGGCGTCAGACCCAAATCTTAGTGAAGTGCGCGTGTGGGGCGGGGGGAGGGGAGGAGGCAGCGCGCGGAGTGGAGGCGCAGCCCTACAAAGGATAAAGAGCGAGCCGCTGGGCATTTGGCTGTGGTCGAGATTTCCTCGGTCTTGACGAAACCTTGCAACATTATTCATCATATCGTCGTCAAAAAACTTTTGTCAAGAATTGCTTCTCGACAAGATAGACTTGCAATTTCGTGCGCAACTCTCTGCGCGAACTAAGCAAATTTCTTGATTTTTATTGAACTCCAACAGTCTCTCTAGAGTCCAAGAAAAGGTTTGCTGGAGAACAGTGCGGCTATTTTTTAAATAATCACAAAAGCTCGTTTTCAGCACGGAAAAGGCAAACTTTTGATAGTCGGAATGTTTTGAAACTACTACTCTCTTTCATTCGCAATCATTCTGATTTAGTCGTGAGCTCGTATCCGGGGGTTCGCCAGGGTGTTTTCCGTTTTTCAAAGTAAAGACTTTAGTTTCTTTTGTCGCTTAGTAAAAGCTTATTAGAGTACATGGTTTTATTAGGTTGTCCGGAAATTAATGCCCGTTTTGAATTTCAATCGCAATAAGTCATAAACTTCTCACTTCTAAATAGGATGCAAAATACCATTCGATAGAGCAAAGCAAGCTCTACATGATGGCTCTCTTGCTTTTGCAACAGCTCTCATCCACCTCGAGTTTCGAGCCAAAAACTAAAAAGACTCAGCAGCCCGAAAAATCGAAAAAAATCGTAACTCAGTTCATAAAAATCCTACAAAAATTCTTACTTGCTCACGTAAACACTATCCACATAAAACATCTATATACGCCTTTGCCGTATTTTTTCTTCTGCTAGAAACCAGGAAAACGGAAATTTTCGTGCATTTTCCAAAGTGATACTGTGCCGTCCCCACATAGGTAGTTGTATACCACAAGCCTGTAGAAGTATAGACCCAAATTTTTAGCTCTCTACAGCCTTTAGTTTTCGAGAAATACCGAACATAGCGTCCCCTAGTTAGGTGGTCCAAGCTGAAACTCAAATTTCTCGAGGACTAAAGCCTGTAGAGAGCTGAGAATTTACGTCTGTACTTCTACAGGTTGGTACTGTACGACTACCTATGTGGGGAAGGCACAGCATCACTTTCGCAAATGCACGGAAATTTCCGTTTTCTTGATTTCTAATAGAGGAAAAAATACGGCAAAGGCGTATATAGATGTTTTATGTGGATAGTGTTTACGTGAGCAAGCAAGAATTTTTGTAGGATTTTTATAAACTGAGTTACGATTTTTTTCGATTTTTTGGGCTGCTAAGTCTTTTTAGTTTTTGGCTTGAAACTCGAGGTGTGTAAGAGCTGTTGCAAAAGCAAGAAAGCCGTCTTGTAGAGCTTAATTTGCTCTATCCAATGGTACTTTGCAACCTATTTAGAAATGAGAAGTGTTTGACTTATTGCAGTTGAAATTCAAAACGGGCATTAATTTCCGGACAACCTAATATATAGCGAAGGTATGATTGATTGTGTAGTGACAATTAAGTTGTTTAAAAAGTAAGCCCGTACTTTCAGCAATTTACTCCTTGCACAATCATTTGAATCCAGCAGATCAATAGAAAACATGCTCCCTATCGTAACCCGTCACATATCGCTGATGCCTAAACAGCCTCCAGATAACTCTCGCATGCCTGCGGACTGACGACTTCAGAGTGATCGAGCTCGATTCCAGTAAGCTACTTCCTTGAAAAGTATTTTAGCAATGACCGGGAAAGGCAACAATGAGGTGGAGGTGACGGATATTGCTGGATGGTTCAGTGTCAATCTTTTGGGTAATTCTTATTCTCAGAAATAAAAAACGTGTTCGTTTATATACAGGAGAGATTATTTCTGCTCCTGGGTGCACCACTTGTTGCAACGCAATTATATCCTGTATTTGCCAACCGAATACTTCGGCGATAACCATAAACTGACAACGGTGGATGACCTCTTGATGATCTCATTAAATTGATGACTTTCTTTTGGTTAGGCTCAGCTTTTGAAATGTCTTTGCTTTCCTGTTGCAAATCCGCTATTTCTCCTTTGTTAACCTTGGCACCACGTTTCAACTCCATCCACAATGTTTCGGAATAAATCGGCAGTCAATGTGGCTGAGTGAAGACGCTGGGGCGCACCTGGTTATTCTCTGTACATATGTCAGTAAACAAACACTGCGATAATTCCGCCTTTATGTATAGGGGCCTGCAGAATCGCGAGAGTCGAACGTGCGTACGGCCATTGCGCCCACGTCAGATGTGCGTTCGACGACTCAGGTAGGTGCCAGACTTATCCTGTTGAACAGGTTCATTCGGTTCACCACCCTTGCTGTTGGGCAGTAAGTGATTTGACCTATGGACCGAACGAACCGGCTGAAGCAGATAAGCAGGGTTGAGCGTGGGGTCAGGCGCGCCCGACCTGGGGGGTCGTACTGGGGTAAGACAGAGGGGGGGGGGTCGTGATTAGGAAACGAATTCGTTCGATTGAGGAGTTACTACAATTAAGGTGAAGAAGAAAAGCGCTAGTTTAGTGGATATCGCGACCTCACCAGTACTGAAGGAATGAACGGTCTTAAACAGCATACTGATTGATTCCACAATCGAAGTTTCGGCCAAAACTCAAATCTTCATCTTTTACCTTGACATATTATAAATTCATCAAGAAGCTTGCTGTGTGAAATGGGTATCATTTCCGAGCACGTCAAATTACCTCTATGAGTCCTACACAAACCATTATTTACTGCATTATCTAGTGTTTCTCAACGACTAAAAAGCGTGATTTTCAAACATGATCAACTTGTTTTCAAAAGTGAGAAAAGTCAATTTTTTGTACTCGTAACAAAGTATTGTTCCCTAATAGTCTAGGCTGAAAATCGCGCTTTGTATCGCTTGCAAATAGTGGAGTAAGAAATAATGCCAAAATTCCGACCGGCGCGTTTTTCGCCATGACTGCTTCAACTCCACGGATTACCACAAGGCCGAAACAAGTCGAATCAAGTCCAAACACTTACTGTGGAATCTTCGAGGGTTGTGCTAGCGATTCACATAAAACTTGAATAAAAAAGCTTCTTCAATGATAAAGTTAAGGGTCAGGCGCAACCCCACAAAAGGTCAGGACGCCTGAGCTTTTGAAGGGTTGCGCCTGACCCGGTTAACTTGTTTTCAAAATCTAAAAATCGCTCCATTTCTGCTATGAGTATTGAACTCAAAGCCTCTTCTTGCAATACTGCAAATTTGGAGCCAAACAATACACCCCTGTGGGAATTATAGCTCTAAAAGTAGGGCTATCCAAAATCCAAAACTTGCCGTCAAGTTGCGTGTGCTGTGCAATCGCAGAAAGTCGACCTACAGACCTCCAAAAAACAAGAACCTCCCAAAAACGGCTGATCTCTTCGAATTATCACAGCTTGAGGTCCTGGAGGTGAAGCAGAGGGGTCGTTTAGGGGCTTTCACTGGGGGGGGGGGGTCGTTTTGGAAAGACGTGTGCCTGACCTCTTGCTCAACCTTGCAGATAAGTCTGGCACCTGCCTTAGTGACATCAGACGTGCGCGGCGCAATGGCCATACGCACGTCCGACTCTCGCGATCCTGCAGGCCCCTATAGATGTCTGTTAAAACACATCAAATCTCAGCGAAAGTTCTCGCACAACTGATTCTGGCTGGTCTTCCGTTGCTAAGCGTCTCATACCAAGATGTTATGCTGATTGAATAAAAAGGAAAGGCAGAACTTCACAAATCGTATGAGAGGGGAGGTTGTCTTACGAGACAAAGGTTGCGGTGTTGTAAATTTTTGTCCTTATATTCGTGAAAGGTAAAAGTTTGTGAAGCACGGATCCTCCCTTAGTACGCCTTCAATACTGAGAAGCTCAAGTCAGAACGAGATGCGCTGTCATGCCTTGTGTGCGACTAGTCATTTTCAGCTTCCAACAAATTCACACTGAAGAACAAGAGAAAGGCTTATGCATATTTGCTTCTGAGATATCTCCAAAGTTGGATGACTTAAGTCTCACAAACGTCTGCGGTTGCTATTGACTGTTGAACCAGTCCTACACCAGTTTTCATCCCTGTTTTAACCTGATACAGATTCAAAACACGAGGAAACAGAAACTTCGGAAGCTTCGTTTCCGGCCATTGCGTTAGCAATTCAGCAAACAAATTCTAAGTGTAGGTGTCCAGTAACTGACAGAACAGTATATCGAATCAAGATTTCTGGTTGCTCCGTACGGGAATGCATAGTTATGAGCTCGCAAAAATTAAGAACGATAAATTGTCGCTTTACCTCAAGGCAGGAAATTTTTGCTTATAGAGCTATGACTGTCCAGAACAGCCCGACATGTCAGCTGACCGTACAACCACCACATGCCTGGTCAACAATCTTTCATCTGTATTAATTGCAGAACAAGAAAAGTTTTGAGAATGAAATTTAAACCGACTTTCTTCCATCTTTAAACGAAAGGATAGTAGTTGATATAGAAGTGATGAACGTTATTATGAGAGTGCACATACAACGCTCAAATTGAGACGGACTCCATTCTTTCGAGAAGGAATTTGCTTTGTAAATTAAAAAATCTTCAAGTAAACACTGGGATCTAGAACATAGTATAAACTCCTTGAGCTTTTTATTTTATCCTTCACGACAGTTTTTCTTCGGCTTAGAGGGAATAAAGGAGATGACGGTTTGTGTTATTGGAAAGAAGGGCATGAAATAAGTAGTAACACTCAAATGACAGACGCTGTGTAGTAGTGAAATATTGGCTTGACAGAAAGAATTCGCAAATGGTCCATAGCATAAATGAAAGGCTTTGCAAGCAAAAACATCATGTTTATGCTCAAATATAATTTCAAAGAAACAATCACACTCACGCCAAAATAGATGTTGTGTTGCTGCGCTTGATTTGCGTATGATGCGGTGTAGCTACCGTATTGCTGTGGGACTTCCTAAAGGGCTAACATTCAATTGAATAGCAAACAAAGCAGGATAGGTAGTTATCACGTTGATCATCTTAACATGAGTCAGAGTGCCTTCGTGTATTTTTATGCTGTTTGAAATGCTTTTTTTCTCTAATAGGAGCAAGCTACACAGATACTGTCAATCAAAATGATGCAGTTTATTTAGAAAATTACTGACTTGCGGCAGTTTTGTCTTGTCTGTTCGGTTTTTCAATGAAGGAGTAAAAAAATAGAAGAGATCCTTAGTTTCTGTGATATGCAAAATTGTAATGCTTCCTCAAATTTTTGGAAACAACATGATTGTGGTTAAGGTTCGATATAGAAAATTCCTTTCTTGCACAATCATAACAGCAGACCCTATCCCTTCGTTCGCTACGTCTTAGTTTTTCCGCTATTTATTCGAAACCTAGAGCGCTTAACATCCATTATTCGACATTCGCTTATTCTAATTGATAGATTGAGGCAAGCAAAGGTAATCAACAACTCCCACAATGTCCTCCTTTATGTGGTCATGTGCCAGACTTCCTGTTTACATATACCACTGCAAAATGACGGTCTCCCCCGCCGAAGATCGAGTCGCAAGAATTTCGAAACATCTTCACATATCAACTGTGCAAGGTCTTGTTTTGGCTAAGTGATAACAACCCAAATTCTTTGGAAACTCGATTTAGCTTTGTGGGAAGTTTTTGAGAACACGGCTGCCAGGAAGCTCTGAAATATTTTTCCAGACTTTTAACGGCACGCCCTCTATCCCAGAGATATTTTCTGTCTCTTTTCCAAACTGAATTTCTTCCCGCCCTGGTATGTATATCTCTATTAGCCCTGCCACATTATTGGGCGGATGGACGAGGAAAGAGGTAGTTACAGAAAACACCAAATTGAACACAAAAGCAATTGTCAAATTGGTAAAAGAAGAAGCTGTAGTTGTCTGCTTCTGCTGTTAGCTAAACACGTGAAATCTCTTACTAGACAAAATTCTAGCAACAAATTGCGAAATTTTATATTTCTATGCAAAGAGGACTACTTCCAGTATGAGTATGTGTTGCGTTCACAACTAAATATCAATGTTGGTTCAATGTTGGTTTACATCAATGTTGGTTTGTCCAAAGTATACCAAATGACACATCATAGAAAAACTATCTTTACTACTCTATCTTAATCGGCAAGAAGATTTCTCTCATGTGAGCAGTTAACTGTGATTTTTTTCACAAAGATGAACCAAAATCAGGATGAGGTACAAGCTATGGTTAACCAAAAATTGCACTACTACAGCTAAGAAAAAGGCAGATATAAAATAAAAATATGCAGAAGAGTATTCTCAGAGATTCCTCAAACGCACCTTTTCGGGGAAGAAATGTGCATAGAATTGATTGAGTTCACTTTGTGATGGTCCACATACGGTCGAGATAGACCGACGGCGCGGTGGTGCGTTCCAATCCGATGTCGACGCCACGACTGCGAATGCCTGCTAAAAGTAATCTGTATTCGTAATAATCGTACACGAACAGAATCTACAAACGATCAACTGTTGCTGTTTGCGAGTATCACCATAGGCGGAAGTCCTAATTAGGAAACGATTGTAAGGAGAAGTAATCAGGCATTGCACAGAATGTAAATAACAATGCTACACAGTTCCAAAACACACGCATAAATAACAAAGTATACGAAATCGTCCGAAAAGACTGCATTCCGACTACAGGAACAAACGCCAGATGACAACAAGTTGATACGAAATTTGATTCAGATGAAAACGCAGCGGTCACTGACAGAATGAATGCGAAAATATCAGCTAGTGATTGGTTTAAACTGAACAATCTATTTCAGATAAGCACGATGCGTCATTACTGGTGTAATTTTGATTCTTCAGCTGAATTTCAAAATCGAATTGATTACCATCAAAATCAACATCAAAAAGCAATCAGTATGAGGTCGGTGAAATTTTGACTTTGCATAATAGCAGGGCTCAGTAATCGCCCAAGTCCCGCTATAAAAGGTGAATTCTGGAGCAGGAAAAACTGTTCCGCCCATCAATGTGAGAAAATAAAAGTCCAAAATCGAGATGCCATAAATGCATCCTTCATTATATTCATTATCAATTTGGCTAAGAAATAATTTCGTTTTGGCATGAAAATCTTCATATAAAGTTTCCTGATTGTTCTTTATCCATAATTTTGTAGATGATTAGCTCAAAGCTTCTCCTATCACATATCAAATACTCAAAATTTTCAACTACCGGTAAGGAACAGTTACCCCCCAACATGCGCCCAACTAATATACCGAAAGTTCAATTCTGCAACTTTCTGAGCTTCGTTTTTATGCTCTAATGGATATATAAAACAGCAATTCGGTATTTGGATACACACAAGTTTTCCAGCTTAACGGAAAGCAATAAAAGATGTGATTTGCCATTACAAAATTTCTAGACCGAAAAAAACCAAATTTTCTCATGATTGCGCACAATGAAAAATTTTGGGTTTTCTCACTTCTGTGTGGACTTCTTTTATTGCAAAATAAATTCTCCCCAAAGAGAATTTCTACATCATCTGTAGGAGCGCAAAAGCGAATGAAATTATTTATTAGCCAACGTAACGATTTGGTTTTTCGATAGTTTCATGCACTCTGAAGCCTGCTTCCAAGCTCATTTTTTAGACCATTACCTAGTTAGGGGCCATTATAGCCGTCTTGTACAGCATCAAATTCTCAGAATCTTTAATTTGGGTGGACAGTAATATGGTTTTTTCGCCTTCCTAGAAGCTGATAGTAAGTTACCATGCCTACCATTTATCGCATCTACCTTTATCAGTTTGCAAAAAAAAACTAAAAAGGCTTGCGAAGAATGCAATGATAGATAAAGTGGTTACGAGGCTTTGTAGTCTTAGCAGTCTCATTCTCATTTTTATGGTCTCTGTTGCTTTTCTGATAGTCTTTTGCCAGTTTTTCTGTACTTGGAGATATTTGATGCTTCGCAACAGACACAGCAAACGATCGAAGTCTTGTGCAGCTCCAAAATCAAGCGCGTTCAAGGCAGATGTCGGATGAGATGTGATCAAATTCAAAGTCAATCAATTCAAGTTCAAAAAATAACAACAAACAGAAAAGTCTTGCCTATGAACAGATGCGGTAGAATAACCAGAGTAACCGCGAGTTCTCCATCAGAATTGCTTTGTCTCTCGCGAAGTAAAATAACCGAGCATGGTAAAGGTATTCAAGGTATTTAAGCTTTGTTTCATTTATGTCACATCTTCATCTACAGCTGTACGTAAAGTTCCAAAAAGGGTACGAACAAATCAAAATAGGACACTTGTTGGCTAACTAACTCATTACTGTATCCTAAGGAGTAGATCTAACTTGGAGTATTAGCTGTAGTGTCAGATAGAACACATGAGGTGTCTCGCAAAGATTTGGTTATGAGTAAGTGCTAACATTACACAGCATCAGAAAATTTTATAATCACATTGGCTCCTAGCAAAACATAGGGAACTATGAAATAGCCACAATGTAGTCCATCAATCCAATGCAATCCCAAAGTACAACAAAAGCATGGTCTATGGAAATTATGCACCAAAAGTTTTTTGTTTCAATCTGAAGGGATCTTTTATGCCCTTATTGTGAAAAAACGCACAGCTAAAGACTGTGATTTTGTCTCTTCCTAGAAATGAAATTGCGAATGGCTAAAAATGAGTATAGGCTTTTCGAAACTTTAAGATTATCCAGCGAAATATAGAGATTCTGTAGCATTCTGTAGCATGTATCTCCGTACAATCATAACGATCGAGTGTAAGTTCAAGTCACGTGGAGCACGTGATTTGTTGATAATACAGCCAAACCTTTATGTATCCGTTGCAACGATTTTTACAGAATTTTTGAAATACCGTAACGTAAGTAAGACTTCTTTTATGATTATATGTCAATACCCACCCGGCAGCGTGCTTGAGTACCGTACCCACAAATGACGTTGACAAACTTATATTTGAAATTTTCGTATCAGATCAAATTGACCTTATGAGTTTGCTTTCATTCAAAAGCTCTTTTCTTACTCTTTTACAGGACATATGAGTATCCGTTCATCCGAATTTGCTGACTCAAAATGCTCGATTTGAAAGGAGGTAACATTGAACTTTGGCAAGAAGGAGATAAACAAAGAGACATTGCATGTAAGTAGGATGTGAAGACAGCTCGCCTTCAAGCCTATACAATTTCAGAGAGCGAAGAAGCGGTTCTAATAACACTTTTCACGTTTTCATAGGTGCTCCTTTAGAAAAGTTACAAAGTGTCCTAAAAACCTATGGATCCACAAGAAATCCATCAATGCATCCTTACCCTAAAAACCTATAATCCATAAAATTGTCTGCATCCTTTCCACTAAATACTTCAAACAATGGAGTCCAAATGAAATATGTTTTCGCAAGCATGGTACAAAACGATTCCGATGATTTTCTCAACCCTGTCGCTGATCATTTTCAGAAGCTATCTCAAATTCGATTGGTTAACGTGTCTTATGAGCACCTGGTAGTATGTAAGGAGAGAAAAGTCGGTAAAAAAAACGAAGGATATAGGACTGTCATTATCTTTTAGCAAAAGAATATTTAGACTAACAATAGAAAAGTCGTGCGCAAAAATGAGAGAAGTAATGAACGCTTCATTACAAGTAAACACTCACAATTTCTCTAAATTGAATAATTGAACACATGTCAGCACAGTGCAAAATTCACCTCTAATTAAACGCTTGATTAGATCATTGTGAAAAATTGCGTACTTCTCCGTTATCCAAACCCCATTATTTCCAAGTGTATTTATGAAATTGCTTCAGTCTAGAAAATTCTCCATGAGTTTGGATACTGTCTCCCTGCCAGTGCCAGAAAAAATAAACGTGAATTTTGACATGGTTTCTTCGAAATTATATCCGGTGAGGTACAAAAACTTTTGAGGCAACTGAAAAGTGCTCAGCATTTTTTATTTTCAAAAAGCAAAACAGTCTAAAGCGTTTATTAGGACAGTTGTTCGCTTTCAGCAATGAATCAAAAATATCTTCCTCAATTGCCGCTATATGAATTTAATCAGGACAAGAACTGTGCAATGGAAGTAGGTTGGCACATAAGTTTTGCAACTAATTTCTAACTTTACTCTTTTTGACTGTGAGCATCAATTTTGGGCATAAGGTAGAATAGGTAGTGAGCTACAAATGTGCAAAAAATATGATTTTTGATAGCGAAGCGGGGAATTACGCATTATTTGACTGGTTGAATTTGAAAACTTTCAAAAATCAAGAAAACCCCGATGAGCTGTACAGTTTCGGCCTGATGCATCTGATTCAGATTGGAAACGGCTTTATTCTTGGTTTTTTGAATAACTGAAGCAGCATGATGATGTTATTGCTATTTTGAAAATGTTGGATCAAAACAGTGTGATTACTGAAGAAGAAAACAGATTAAACTGTAATTTATCTAGACTTGTAGATAATGAGACTAATTTTAACATTTTTGCAAATTCAATTTAGCTTTGGATCGCGGTTATGGACCTGCGAAAATTTTGGGAAGCATACCAATTTTTCGGAGTGCGAACCTAAACCCACGTAGCTTCAACAGAGAATTTTTTTCCCCCATCCCCTCTCCACCCAAACAGAAATCCTGGGTACGTCACTGGGTAGGCAACACAAACTTTCGTAAACATTGGTACCGTTAAACATGTAACTCACAATGAATTTTTCCCCTGGCAGGAAACTGATACTCCTTCTTGAATTTGGAATATGGTGCAAAATAAGATACCCTTCTTTGAACAATGGGCCTGGTTAACGAAAATGTGCCAAAAGCTGCACTATATTCTATCGTCAACCTATCAGCAGACCATTACGTCAACGGGTCAAAATTTTAATCCATACTGCAAGAAAATGTGAGACTCGACTGAAAATATAGAATGCTATAGATAATATAGAATGCTGTTAGCGCGAAAATTGGTACCTGACTAGTTTGAAAATGCTGCTCACAAAGTTTCCCAAATGTTTAGCACACAATTTGTAAACTCTAATAAAAGCTGAGACAGATGATAGCACAAATGAACAAATGTGAACTCTACAGATTGTAAAAAATCTGAATCGACAGATTTGCAAAAATTGCACAGACAGAGCAAGTCCAGGAAGAACCTTTCTTGCCTTTTCATTTTTTGGAAGAGCATAGGAATTCCCACTTATAAAACCTCGACTAGGCAGATATTTTGCCAAAATCACCACAATTTTTTTCATTTTTAGAGTGTTTTTTCTAAGTCGCAAAGTATCGGCATGCATTGCAATCATTATGCACTGCGTAAGGGATTTTGAATTTTGAGCCAACTACAGGTCCTAATCGTTTGAAGGGCAGTACTACATTCATTTACTCGTACTGTTTAAGCATTGTTCATTTGTTCATTAGGCCTCAGCTGCATTGAAAAAAGAAAAAAATAGATAGACCAACACGTACACGCTACTAAACACATTCCAACTGGTCACACGGCTAAAGTTCAACGAAAAACAGGAGCAAATTGAAACAGTACAAGCAAAAGATACTTTATACTGTTTGGGTATTGTACAGTTCTCAAAAACATTGACCATGGAGCAATCTTCGAAAAACTGCATGTGCTGAACCCAAACTGATTGGTGGAGGCAAATTCTGCGAAGACTATAAGACCGAAAGGTTGAGTAAAACAAAAAAGATCTTGTTTATTGAACAAAGTTCATGAAGATAAGATGAGTTAACAAGGATTTCTTTGAGCCGGCACTTCACAAATATTCAAAGAAGGAAGTGCAAAACGTAAGAGACCAAAAATAAGAATAACTAGTGCCAGCACAGAAAGCAAAATATAGTATGAGATTGCATGCACATACAGCAATTAACGAGCCTGAGTGATGTTGAACCCAGCAAAGGATCATGGAATCCTTGTTATGGATGATTTTCATGACTACGACATCTTAGTCAGAACTGTGAGATATCACATGACGATATCGAAATATGACTGCAAAAGATGATTGAAATGCGTAATTCATGGAATTTGCAGTGTTTTTGCACAATTTCCTATAATTCCATGGATTATAGCCATGCATAGCTGCTGGTTAAGCTGCGAAGAATAAGAAAACAAAAGGACAACATGAGGACATAGTCGCTCAATCAAGCAAAGACCTCCTTTTGCGCATTTGTGCAGCAAAAGGGAAAGCACAGTGCAAAGTATTTGAAAGTTGAATAGCAGCGGATATCTTTTGATCTCTGCTAGGAAAGGGGCAAAAGTTTTTTGCGCAAAACAAGATGTTTGGAAAAAAGAGATAAAATTTTTTTTACAAATCTTAGTTTTGAAACAGAAAAGGAAAAGGGAAATCTGAAACCAATGGCAAGATCAAGTAGGAATATAAAACAAGATAATAAGAAGATGTTGGTATTAAATAAATGAATAAACACATAAACAAATTATATAGAAAGCAAAGCCGCATCATGACTTCATGCAAACACTTATCAGCAACGTTCATAAAATATAACGTTTAATAGAGATAGTTTATCGTGACTTCGTATTTTTGTATGAAAATGCGAAGCTTCTCAAAGTGTTTTATTTTCACAAAACTTTCCTTATCAACGAAAGAAACATTGCAAACCCCATGAACGAGAATTGTAACGTATCGCACCATTCTCGTTGGCACTGCAACGTTATTAAACACAAAACTGGCATGGCAGAAGTGGCACAGATCTGGTCAATGATAACATCAACAGCAAACATATTTTGACAGAAGAAAAACAACAACAATAAGCGGTTCATGTATACTCCACCTTTCAACGCATAGTTAGATACGAAGTATGGTCGAAGCACAAAAAGAAGTACTGCATAGTGAGAGTAAGCAGAAATCAGAGGCGTCACATTTATCAACTTTTTCGGTGTTTATTTACGTTTACCACAAGATAAGGAAAGCACTTCATACGCGTGGTAACAAACTACCTTGGCATTCATAGGATACTGGCACTTAAGAAGATTGATGGAGATCGAAAGTTTGTTTATCCGATCATAGATGGAATAAATGTCTGTTCACAAATCAACTGATGTGAAGGCGTAGATGGTGAAGAAATCAACTCCTCTCCCTCCTCCCTCGCTCAAGAGAGTAAACTTCTGGAGATGGTCTACATGGGCTATAGTATTATGCAGAAAAAGCTAGGACGTCATATTGTACTTGACTAATTCTTATAAGTTCCATATATATTAGTGAAAATACTTTTCAACAGGCGGATGATGATTCTGTCACCACTGCCACCGTATGCTTTTTACCTTAACGGCAGTGTCCCGGTAAAATTTCGCTCCCCGGTTTTTTACTCTTCGTAGCCTTCTCACCATGCTGAAGATCTATCTGAGCTTTCTAGCGTTTGAAAATGAAAAAAAATGAACTTTTTTGAAGCTCTCCTTTTCCGCGTTCGCTTCGAATTACGTGGTAGAAGTGGGCGGTGTCTGGAAATAGGCGGGCTCCGGAATTCTTCTGGAGCGGCTTCTGGGCTTTATGGAAGCGCTTTTTTGCTCCAGACTTCACTGATCGAGGGAGGGCATAACATTGGAACACTATAAAATCCCGGTAACCATCATTTTGAGGGGACACTGCCTTTAAGGACTCCGAACAACTGCCGTGCTAAGAGTGGGTCTTTCATCAAAATCTTCGAGGAGGTCATGTGAAATGAAAATGCCACATACTTCCTGAGAACACGATAAACAGCAAATCATTTGAGAGAAAGCTATGAGGAAACTCCATGTAATCTTTGCAAAAAATGACAATGATAACACCTGCAAGCGGATTGCAGACATGTTTGCTAAAAAGACAGACTATGCGTCAGTAAACGCACACGTTCGGATTACTAACAATAAGTAATTTCGACAATATAAACATCCATTACGCTGTAGGAACGTCATATGGTCAAACTTTTGATGACTTTAGGTTATCGGCTCAGTTGTGATAAATTGACACATAATTCCTGTGCCGCAAGTTATTGTAAAATCCTTGCAGTCTAGAAAACTTCTTTACTGCAAAGTGTCCTTAAAAATTATGGTTAGTGGTGCTCAGAGATCCATCTTTATATGGCGGTGATAAAGCTGATAAAGAAACACTTAAAACTGCACTTAATGCTTGGAGTTAGAAATGTAAATAAGGTTAGATGGTCAATGTGATTGTGAAGCTGATCCTGGACTTGGTTTATTGCCTATGCTTTGTGATTATAAGAAATTTTTGAGCAATTTCACCATTTTCTAGTATGTATGATATAACACTACATTTTATCTCTATACTAGTTGGCTTTCCCGGTCCAGCCCGGGCCATTGGTCAGCTGCACTGCGAGCCCCCCCCCCCCTCTTATATATTATGGATGACTTACTCTAAGACATCCGCTTCGAACCGCATTCTCGTGATCCTGGGGTGAAAATGAGCTTCACCGCCCTCCTTTGAATGACTACGGGAAAATGCTTGATTAAACATGATAAGCCTTCAACTCGTTAGGAAAACGTAAACAAATCAATAAATCGATGGAGGGACCCAGCGAATTTTAGTAAAAAGTATCGTCTCCGGGGTCAAAGACATCTGTATGCAAAGGTTTAGCCCAATCGGTTAAGCGGCGTGCGTTTCTATAGCTCACATATCCTCCAAACAGACAATTTTTCAGTTTTATATATACAGAGATATGTAAAAATCTGTGTTTGTGTGTCTGTGCACATTTTTCCCATGAAGGATGAGCGGTGAAGCATTTAGATTTGCTGTCATTCTCACATGGTAAGGGCGGTAGGAAGCGAACCCAAGGCGAGTCGAAATTAAAAGAAGGGTAAATTCCGCTAGATGAGAAATCGAGCAAGAGGAGTGGCTTCAGAACGGAGTGGAACCCTGGATGCCAGCTCGCATATACAGGGTGTCCCAAAAATAAGTACACACTTTTCAATCGTTAATATCTCTCTTCCCATGGTGTCTTTTTTCGCCATTTAAGTAACATTCTGTAAAGGAGGCTTCAGCTTAGATTTACGGTATTGAGCGAATCACCGACCGATCTTCAACTGTAGGATAACTGTAGAAACTTTGACAAGGATTTCAGGCCATTGGAAGCCATATTCTGCCTCGGAACAAAACCAAACAAGCTAAAAACTCTTATACTCAGGTAATGGAAGTTGCTGATTTTAAATATGAAATTTCCACTTTACTGTGATGCTTCTTTCCAAGGTTATCCCAGGTAAACCCTAATCCAAATTCTCAATTAGCCAGAAATGTGGTTACGCCGCCAAAAAAGCTGAAAACACTCATAAAAAGTTGTGTAGTAAAATCAGCGTTCGCAAAAACTTTAGTACGCTATTTTTCAGATTTTTTGAAAAAAATTTTGTCAAATGGCATATTTCAAAATAGTTCTACTTGCTGGAAGTTCTTACCGTAATCCTACAGTGATGAAGAGCGGTCGGTGATCCGCTCAACACTGCAAATCTAAGTTGAAGCCTCCTCTACAGAATGGTACTTAAATGGCGAAAACTGACCCATTGGGAAGAAAGATATTGACGATTGAAAAGTGTGTACTTACTTTTGGGACACCCTGTATATAAGAAAAAAAAACAAGTGTGTGAATTCTTTTTAAAGCGGGCTTATCCAATTTTTGGCGCAGGTGCGATGCATTAACCTAGAATTAACGCAAAATGGCGCAAGTGAAAAAATTACGGTCTGCGTTGAACAACTAGTAGTAGAAACTACGTCCAAAATTTTCCGCGTAATATCACTCAAAGCAAAATTTCTCTCGCACTTTTACTATTAACTCTGCGTCACGTTTTGTAACTAAAAACAATTTCATTGGTAAATTAGTCTGTTTCTTACTGGTTGCAAAGCTACAAACGACTCATGCATCTTTTTTGGATAAATATTACGTCTTTCTTAGCTTAAAAAACAGAAAAGTATGAAACCTTTCTTCTTAAACATTCTTTTTGCCTCTATCTATCAAGTAATCTGGAAGATTTCACAGAAGGCTAACTAACTTTCGTTAGGTAATGCTGTATGTGTAGCAAACCTCATTTTGCGCCAACATTTCTTTTGCTCCCTCGAGAAATCATTTCACTATTTGAGCCTCTGATGCTTCTTGTAACCCAAAGCCGAAGAAAGAGATTTGATAGCTGTGTCCCTTAGTGACGTGATGTGAGTACAGTGAGCATTGCAAAAAAATGGATTCAAGTGAATCTAATGTTTAGCACGGCAAAATTAAATCTGAATATGGAAAACGATGATGACTCAATAAAAAGATTAGTAGAGTATTGTAGATGATGGAAAACGACGTTGAGGACATAGTCTGTACTCGTTAATGGGAAAAGCGGCTTTGACTTATAATGATCCATGATTATCACTGAATGAGTGTATTCTTGGCTTTTTTGCATGAGTGAAGATGGGACGTAGACTGAAAGTCAAATGGGAATTGGATAATGAAAAAATCACTGATTGTAGTCAAGATAAAATTGATAACTCACATATAAGAACTGTAATTCACTGACAACATGGAATAGATCACAAACAAGAAATTAGATTGTAGTCTTGTAGAGTAGGAGGTGAGGGTAGGATGAGGTGAGCGGGGTTGAAAAAGAGATTCACGGTTACAAAAATGCAACCTATTCTTTTCTGCTAAGGTGGAAATAATTCTCAGTCTTTATTCCAGCCACTATCATTCTATTAACCAAACACCTTTTCAGAAACAAAATTTCGATAGACTGAGTAAGACACACCCCGCCACATGAAAAATAAAACAGAATACAACAACCATGGATGCGATAACAAATAAACAAGGCAGGCAGCCCTATAGGACATAAGGTCATCTCATATTCTACTATGAGGTTGTTGGATAGCGCGATCTCAGACATTTTATGAGATAAAGGCAGAAAACATTAGACGATGAGTACCCAAATAGTTAAGAATCTAGTGATTACAGAGCATCTGCACGCGATATATGAATCGCTTATACTAGCAAGATTGAATCTTCCCAGGCGATTTTTGAAGCGATTCCCTAGGTTCGTACGGTATATTGGGTTGATCCGAAAGATTTTGTGCATCATACTCAAAAAATCATAACTTTCGTATCTCAATGGATTACTTTAAAAGTAACTTCATATGAAAGCGTAAAGCATCAAGCTCTTTACAGCAGTAAGCTTCCGGTAAATGATTAGAAGAGCTCCGAGGGGGGCATGCACGCATTCCACCTCATAGTCGAGGAAGCAAGTGAATGCGTGCAGGCCTTTTACAATGACTTGCAAGGCCAGGCGATTACCAAGTCAGCGGTTTTATCCTCCCAGATTGCTCTGGTATCAATTTACCGGCCCCTGAGAGTAATGGACTTGGTTAACCCAGCAGATCGAACCTAGGTCTAATCTGGTCATAGCAGCGCCTCTTATATGCCATTCGTCCCGTACAAAATATTATGTCCCAATCAAGCCAAAACAGGCATGGTGGGAGCCCGTGTCACGAGGGTTTCGCGCCACATCTGCGGCTAGCTTGTCTGCTTTCTCTTCAATCTCTTCGCTCTCTCCGACAGCACGCATATGCAGCGCAAATCTGTAGCGCTGCGAGCGCGCAAATTTAACCGACGGTCCGGCCTGATCCCGATTGGAACGGATTATATGCTCAAAAATTATAAATCGAGATCAAGTTATTTGTTGTAAGTTTGTACATAAAGAAAAATACAGCAAGAAATTTTCTATTATTCAAAGCGAGTACTTGAATTATTTGATTTGGCAAGATATGATAACCCAAAAATACCTTTCCGAGCAACAATTCTAATAAGTGATTAACTTTTTCTGTTTCTCCCATCAAGGCCCTGCACCGGGGAGACCAAAATATTAAGACCAAAATATACTCCTAAAATATTTCAGGAGCGTTTGTCGTAAGTGGAAAATAGCCTGAAAACGAAGGATCTCAGTTTTTGGAGGCTTTCAGGAAGTGATTAGAATTGAACTAGAACTGAATTGCCTTTGATGTAATCTCATATACAGGGTATCCGTAAAATATGTATACACTGTTTGATCGTTAATATCTCTTTTTCCCGACAAGTCTTTTGCTTTGCTTCAGGTACCATTTATAGAGCTGTCTTCATCTTAGATTTGCATTATAGAACGAATCACTCATTCCTCTTCATTACTGTAGGATTACGGTGGAAACTTCAAAGAGGGTTTTGAGCCATGAAAGGCCATATTTTGCCTCAAAAAGGAAACAAAACAGTCTGAAAATTTTTACACTAGGCTAATTAGAGTTGCTGACTCTAATGGTAGAGTGTCCGACTTAATATGATGCCTCATTGAAGACTTATGTCAGGTAAGAGGTAGCGGCCGTTTTTTCAACGTTCCTAAAAAGTGCGGTTACACTGTTTAGCAAGCTTCGCAATCTTGTGAATAGTTGAGTCTTGAATTCAGAGTCCATAAAAACCCTATTACACAAGTTTTCACATTTTTTTGAAAAATTTTGAAACGGCAGCTTTTTCCACATTGACACCATATGTTTCAAGTTTCTACCGTAATCCTACAGTAATTAAGAGAGATGGGTGATTCGTTCTATACCACAAATCTAATTGTAAGATGAAGCCAGCTCTACAAAATGGTACCTGAAGCAAGGCAAAAGACTTCTTGGGAAAAGAGATATTAACTATCGAACAGTGTATACATAATTTATGGACACCCTGTACATACTTATGCAATATAAATGTACCAAATATGATCGAATCACTTGAACATAGTGCAAAACACAGAGGTCAAGTATGAAATCACATCCAGGGTAGGTTTTTGGAACCCTCGTTAAGAACTGAATCCCCAGGCTGCTGACTAGATGGATAATGTATGGCGCTTTGTATTAGGTTGCCCCAAAAGTAAATTCCATTTTCAGATGAATTGAGCTATTCTTGTTTTCCTGATAGACTTAAGGTACCATTCGATAGAGCAGAGCAAGCTCTACAGAAAGACCACAAGGACCTACCTAAGTCATACTCTAGGCAAAATTTGAGGGCAAAAATCAAAATTTTTCAGCTACCCTAAAAATCGGATCTCCTTCCAGAAAATTCCTACGGACTTCCAACTTGGTCTTTATATAGTAGGCATAAAGTAGTACCCAAAAAAAATACTTGGCGGATTTTTTTCGGGGCTCGAAATTGACAAAAAACGAAATTGACAAAAAATATGGTCCGAAAATGCCAAAATGCCACTTTTTCGGGTTTTTTAAGTAAAACTTAGTAATTCTCGCATGTAAGAGCACATACAGGGGGGCAACTATGAAATTATGCTTAGTAAGGTTCATAGTACACGATGACATATGTGGGAGGGGCTGGTGGCGGAGTTTGCCATTTTTGGACAATTTTTGTTTCTCGCTTTCTACGCTCGAAAAAAATTTGGCGAAAGCATACTTGAGTAATACCATTTGCCTACTGTGTAATGACCACGTTGGAGGTCCGTAGGGCTTTTCCTCGCAAAAATCAAATTTTCAGGTGACAGAATTTTTTTCGATTTTAGCTTCAAACTTTACACGGAATGCGACTTAGGCAGACCCTTGATGGTCTTTTTGTAGAGCTTGATTTGCTCTATCGAAAGATACCCCAAGTCTACCAGTAAAGCAAAAACAGCTTGAATTATTCAAAAAAGGAGTTTACTTCTGGGACAACCTAATAGTAGGAGGCATGCTTAACGGTATGTCATGACATATGATCATATATAACGGTATATATTAGAATTTGATGTAATATGCCAAGCCCAAATCAGTAAGGTGAATTTTTAATGACCTGACCTTTTGACAAGTCTTCTTCGATTGCCGAAAGTTAGGTCAATAAAGATTTACCGTACTAATCTGGGCTCGGCAGAACATCTATTAAATCAAATTACGACATAAGATGCCCAGATTCAGAAAGGAGAGAACCTGGATTTTACAAACTTAGAATCATCGGCGTACATTCGAATAAAATCTACCTAAAATGTCTCGATATCTGGGCATGTGATAGACAATACTAAGGCAAAAAGTATTGTAAGAATATTCGAATTTTTAAGGGATTAAATTGGTTATGAAAAACTCTGTCAAGGCGTCAACGCTATGGCGCTATTTCTGAAAATTCGGGGCGATGAAATTTCGACAAACTTGGAATCTCACTTAAACATTTTCAAGAACAAGGCGGTAGCAACTCTCCTTCAGCTGGAGAGATTTCCATCGCACGAAAATCACTGCTATAGGAGAAATTTATAAATTCATTAACTATAGTTAGTGAACAACATGAAACTTCTTCCCTTTCAAACTCCAAGCAAAAAAAAGAGCTCGTGCTTAGGCTATAAGAGAAATTTGGTTGAAAACTCTCAGCACTTCAAATATTTTTAGATTTTCGCAACAAGAACATCAGAGTACCTTAGGCTGCCTGTAAAGGTAAAATTATCACGTCTACAAAGATTACATTTTTTCTACCACAGTCTACCAGACATAAAATGCGAGGATCGAGAAGACTGATGTCATAGCATGTTTCGATTGCACTACATACACGGGAATTGACGTGCAAATAAGTAGCTGTCATATGATATAAGTCGTCGTCATTTTCCCCCGATTGAGGAGTACTGTAGGTTAAAAACTGCGTGCCTTGCCTATATTTTGAAATCGCTTTTGAACAAAGGGCACAACGACCCACCTCCCCACACCCCTCCGGCGGGGGGGGGTGTGCAAGTCGCCTAAAAGTACATGTAGGAGAAATGTCGATAGCACACATACAGCCTCTCTCGTTCGTTTCGGTTGTGACGTCGAGATGGAGAGAATGTGAAGGTGGGCGGATGGCAAGTTAGGACGGATTTCGCTCAGAGCGGGGCCGACGGCACGAGGGGGGGGAGGGAGCGAAGAAGGGGAAATGCCCGCATATGTGCATAGTGAGTTGCTAATTGACCGTGATTGCGTCGACAGCGACTCATGTGACGGCAGGTTGGCGGAACGAGGCGAGGAGGCTATTAGTGACATTCAATTTGATAAGTTCATCAAGGCTGTGGGAAAAAGTGTAGGATATAGGAGGACGAAAAAAGGTGAGGAGTAGGCGAAAAT